AATTGGAGCGTGAGGAGGAAGTCACGGGCCCCGTGATCGCGCCTCTCTTTCCACAGGTGGGTCCTGATAGCTGGACAGGAGTAAAAACCAGATAGAAAGCTTCCTGAAATTTTCTCCTGAAAGTTTGTTATAACTAAGATTTTAATTAAAACCGTCAAAAAGAGCCTCAAATGAACTCCCTTTAAAAAAAATATATATATTTTTATTCATTTGAGAGAGCAAGAGAGAACATGAATAGGGGTGAGAAGTAGAGGGAAAAGCAGACGTCCCTGCTGAGTCAGGAGCCTGATGTGGGGCTCGATCCCAGGACCCAGAGGTCACAGCCTGAGTAGAAGGCAGACACCCAACCATCTAAGCCACCCAAGCGCCCCATGGACTGTCATTTTTTTAGTAGAAGTATGCAGTTTCTTCCAGAGGCCTTGAACTTTAGCTAGTGTTCAGAGTTCAATGGTAAGTTGTCAGTTGGGGAGGGCAATTTAGGGTAATGACGAGCCCCAAGGCCGAGAATGGGGCCATGGGTGGTTTTGTTGTTTTTTGCTTGAAGACAATTCAGGTGACTGGTCATTGTTAAAGACATCAGGGCTTTTCTAGTTGATATTTCTTCTCTCTCTCACTGCTATTTCACTCTGCATCTGGTTGCTTGGTTCTTTACCACCAGAAAGAAAATCTCATCCCTTATATGAGAAAATAATTGAAGACTGAAAGCAGAAACCAGATACAGTGTAACGTTTCATTTTATAAACTAGTGGTTTAATAGGCTCGGGGGAAGGAGCTCTTTGAACCAGAATACTTGGGCTTTCTGACAGGGATGGCCTGCTCTGGGTCCTGTCCACAGGCCAGCTCATCTCTGCGTCAGCGTGTTTCGCTTATCTGACGTAAGTGCTTTGAACCTAAAAGGGTCTCGGAGGAACTCTGCTGCCAGGCCTCAAAGACTAGATCTCTGATAGTGGAATTTTGGATTCATTGGCAAGCACTGAATGTCAGGAGAGGGTATTTTGAAATAATTAAGGAAATGAGCTAGAACCAACAGTGAGTTCATCTACTTAAAAACAGAGTTCATTTGAGCTACCTTTTTGACAGCTTCGAAATCTTAATTGTACCAGATTGTCTTTCGGGGGGAAATTTTATTTCATTTTAAAAGATTTATGTATTTTATTTTTTTAAAAAAGATGTTATTTTGAGAGAGCATGAGCATGAGTGAAGGGGAGGTGCAAAGGGAGAGGGAGAGGCAGACTCCTCGCTGAGCAGGGTGGCCAGTGTGGAGTTTGATCCCAGGACCCCAGGATCATGACCCGAGCGGGAGGCAAACGCTTAACTGACTGAGCCACCCAGGCGCCCCTTATTTATGTATTTTAGAGAGAGCGCGTGCGCTGGCCGGGGTGGGTGTGGGGAGACAGAGGGAGAGGGGGAGAAAGAATCTCAGGCAGAATGCCTGCTGAGTGAGGCGCCCAATAGATGGTCTCAATCCCAGGACCCTGAGATCATGACTGGAGCTGCAGTTCAGAGTTGGCCACCGAACTGATGGAGCCGCCCAGGCGCCTCCAGGAGGAAATTTTTAGAAAGCTTTCTATCTGGTTTTTGTTTTCCTACTTTTATAACCATTCTTGTGGTCTCATGGCCCTCAAGTTCTATATGCTGAAATTCTTGGCTTTTGGTCACTGCAGAAACGTGAAGAGGGCTGGTGGGTGGTGATCGGTGATGCCAAGTCCAATAGCCTCATCTCCATCAAGAGGCTGACCCTGCAGCAGAAGGCCAAGGTGAGTGAACACTGACCCCAGCATTTGATCTGAGATGGGGTCAGGGTGAGGTTCCTCCTGTGTGTCTGTGCTCACCCTGGTTTCTGCCTGCTCTCTCTAGGTGAAGCTTGACTTTGTGGCCCCAGCCACTGGTGCCCACAACTACACCCTGTATTTCATGAGCGATGCGTACATGGGATGTGACCAGGAATACAAATTCAGTGTGGACGTGAAGGAGGCGGAGACAGACAGTGACTCGGACTGAGTCCAGAGGCACTTACTCTTAAAAAGACGAGAGAATTGCACCTGAATCAGGAACATGTACAGTTCCATGGGGACCAGGTCTGTTGTTGTGAGATCTGGCCAGCCAGGGCAGGTGCTGTCCCTGGCCTCTTACTTGGCCTTCTTACTGCTTTGCCATCTCAACTTTGGATCCAGTGTCCACAGGTGTCCTGTCACTGTCCAGCAGAAACTATGTACAGCATTTTTAGGCATGTTCTGTGTAGTTCCGTTTGTCAGACAGTCTCCTCAAATAACTTGGAGAAGCCATTTGTCTTTGCAGTATTTCCAAATTAAAGTTTCCTTCCTCTACCTAAGGCCCTTGGCCAAAAACATTTGGATTTTTTTTAGCCACTGAACTTGCTTATAATGAATACTTCTAGAGGACAGGGCTGCTCTTTAGTTGGGCTGTCACCTGCAGCCTTTCCAGTCAGTGCAGAGAAGGGAACAAGGTTAGATAGCTGTCAGGTTTATGCCCTTGTCTCCCACCTCTGTTGTTACCCAGGTATCAGCACTACTGTAGGAAGTAACACGGAACTTGAGTCTCAAGATCTGTAGTGTCCCCTCCCATAAGAAGGTAGTACCAGAAACAGTATTAAAATGCACCAGCTGGGTGTGGCCCAGTCTTGGTAACTAGTTCTCTGGTCTAGATTTACAAATTTTGCTCTTCACATTCTTGCCTTCTGTTACTTAGGAATAAATGTGCATAAAATCAGGAGGTAATTTTCAAGCGTAGTTTCTCTAGGTCAGCAGTTTTCAAGTAATAGGACCTCAGGACACCTTTACATGACAAAAAGTTAAGAACCCCAAAGATATTCTATCATCTTGGTTATATCTATTGATGTTTACTATATTGAGGATTAAAACAAAACAATGCATTTAAAATAATTTTTTAAAAAGATTTTATTTACTTGAGAGAGGGAGAAGCAAGCTTCTCCACGGAAGCCCGATAGGGGCTTGATCCCAGGACCCTGGGATCATGACCTGAGCCAAAGGCAGATGCTTAACCAACTGAGCCACCCAGGGGCTCCAGTAACTTAGTTTTTTTTTTTTTTTTTTTTTTTTTTTTTTTAATGAAAAATACCTTCTAAAACAAATCCAGGGAGAAGACTGCATTTTATATTTTTACAAATCTCATTAGATCAGGTCTACTCTAATGGAAGACATCTTCATAGCTCTTTCTATAATTTTGCGTATTGTTTATTGAAGTGAAATGAAGTAGAACTGTCTTTACCCAGATATGAAGTCAGAAAAGGGCTTTATTTATTTTGAGATTTTTATTTATTTGACAGCACAAGTAGGCAGAGTGGTAGTCAGAGGGAGAGGGAGAAGCAGGCTCCCCGTTGAGCAGAGAGCCCAACACGGGGCTCGATCCCAGGATCCTGGGATCATGACTGGAGCCAAAGGCAGACACCCCCACAAAAGGGTTATTACAGCCTCTTCAGGTGATTATCTATTTGATATTATACTGCAAGTGGTAGTTTTTTAAAGGCAGTGCGGAATCTGAAACCTCATCAAATAAGCCTCAGTTAAAACCACTGGTCTTGGGGTGCTTGGGTAGTGGAGTGACTCAGACATCTGACTTGGTGTAAGCTCAGGTCATGATCTCAGGGTCATGCGGTAGAGCTCCACACTGGGGTCTGCTTTAGATTCTCTCCCTGTCACTTCAACTCTTGCTCTCTAAAATAGATCTTAACAAAAATATCCCACTGGTTTTACAACTTTTGTTTACGATTTTATTTATTTGAAAGAAAGAGCACAGGCAGGGGGAGGGACAGGAGAGGGAGAAGCAGGCTCCATGCTGAACAAGCGAGATTCGGGGCTCCATCATAGGACCCTGGGATCAGGGCCTGAGCAGAAAACAGACGCTTAACCTACTGAGTGACTCAGGTACCTGGCCCCCCCAACCCACTTTTTAAAAAGATTTTATTGATTTGGTCTTACACTTTGAATGAGTTTCTTAACCATGAAAGACTTTGTAATATCGCGCATTAGTCGTTTGGAAAATGCTCGTTCACTGATTTAGGCAGATCTTCCAAATGACACATTTGGTCATGTGGATCACATCCGTTGACACCGCCAATCTCCTCAGAGGAGTCTTAAGCGTTGGGAAGATGTCAGGCTCAAGGTGGCAATACAGCTTTTCAAAAATTTTAATTTTTTTCTTGAGAGCTTTGTTTTTTCATTGGCAATACCACCAGTTTCCCTTGAAGTGAAAGGCTAACTCCCATCCATTTCCCAGAAAACATCTGCCAGATAAGCCACGTCCACGTAACAGAATTTGCTAGTTTCTTCAAGAAGGGGCCAGGAAGACAGTTCAGCTTGCACAATGGCTTTTTGTCGAGATGGCCTTACTTCAGTGTGCAGCGGAAGGGCTTTATCCTGCTTCCCACTATCGGCACGTTAGCTGTGTTCTCGGGGGTCAAGATTTAATACAATTTTTAACTGGCTCTATCCGACATTTCTAAGTGAGGTTGCCACTGTTTGTACTGTGAGGGCAAGGCAGTGATGACTGACCACTAGAGTGGTGTGCCACTGCTTTGACTCCTGCCACAGTTGACTGTACAGGTCCCCTGAAAGGCTCTCGGGACCACACACTGACAGCCATTGCGCTAGACACTGTCCTCAGCTGTCTTTTCAAAATCTAAGGTCGTGATCTCAGTGGAAAAAAAATCAGGTGAAGGCTATAGCTTTGGGGAGGTCCTCCAGTCCAAACCCATTATGGAAGTGACTTCCAGAAGACAACCTGAATGAGGCTGAAGTGATAGCTTAAGGAGTGATTCTCTACCATTCTTCATTATCATGCCCCTAAATGAGCCTTATTAGATGTCTTTTTTCTATTTGCCCCCACCATGAAAATTTAATACTGGAGGTTCATTAGAGAGCCACAAATGATGGTCTCTCAGATTTTTTTTTGCCCCCCACCCAAGGACTGATTTTCAGCTCCATTGAGAATGTATGCCTGTAGCCAGTACTACCTCTTTTTTAGGGTTCACACCCTTCCAGATTTATTTTTCAGCATTTCCAGTTGCCACCACAGTGTAATGGCTGGCACAGAAGATACACAAGTTTCTAAGGGAAAGCAGAAGCATGTCTCACTCTAAGCCAGCCTACATTAAAAAAATTTCCTTCCAATACTGACTGAATGTCTTAAATGTAAGAATTTACCCAGAAACCAGGAAGGCAGGACCTATTTCAGAAAAGGACTCACCATGGAATTCTTTTAAGTTGTGAATGTCCTTATGAAACAGGACTTGGGATTCAGATGACCTATTTCTCTAAAGCTTCCAATTTCTGAAAAGCCTAAGATGTACCCCTTCTACACAGAGGTAGGGTGACTATAAATACTATATTCACCCCCCAAAACTGAACACTGGGCCCTCAAGCAAGCAAAACCTGTGGCATAACCACAACCCACTGCTGTTCTGTAGCTCTTTACCAAGGGCCCCATGTCAAAGGGGATGAGTGAGTGGTTCTGTGGCTCTGTACTTCTCCCCAAGTCTGAATGGAAGAGAGCCAAGTTAGGCAAAGGTCAAGGGTCCTCCAGGTCCTCTTAGGGCTGGGAAAGTCTTAGGACATTTTCTGGGGAACCATGATTCTGTCCAAAGTCAGGGTGGCTCAGATGCCTTCTGGTCGCTGATACTTCCAGAAGGCCACTTCCCCGTCATCACTGCAGGAGGCCAGAAGCCCCTGCTCCTTAGGGTTCCAGGCTACACAGTTGACATCCTGGGAATGGGCCTGAGGCAAGTGGGCTGTCAGGGAGAAGGTGGGCTGCTGTGGATCTGAGCTGGGATCCTCCTCGAACACACGAATGGCATCATCGCCACAAGCCGTAGCCAGGGCCCCTGTCAGCTGACACCTGGGAGGAACAAGTGCACCCGTGAGTATGCAGGTGGCTCCTCCCTCCCCAACCTGGCAAATTAGGCAGAAGACATTACAGTCTTCCCGCAGCTCTTCCCAAACTGCAGGCCTCCACTTAAAGTCTGTTATTGAAGAGCTTCCCTAACACAAATATCACCTCCTCATTCTTCAAGGGCTGCCATCTAGTTCAGATTTCCCCAGTCAACCCCCAAACTCCGTGACTCTGAACTGCACTTCTGTCACTTAGCACAAGCAGCTTCCCTTATCGCCAAGTCATCCTTAACTATTGAGACAGTAATAGGCTGCTGAATTTTACCGTACTTCCCCTAAAGTCACCTTTGTCATTGCCAAACGTTTGCTAATATAAAAGCTTAGATGCATATCAACTATTTTCATCATTTAGGATTATTTCCTACAGATGGATTCCTAGGGCCAGAACTGCCCTCTGACCACTCTCCTATAATGAATGGTACGGCTTTCCTAGACTCCATTAGGGTAGAGTCAGTGTTGCCAAACCATAAAAACTCCACAGCCATGAATCCAATTTCAAGAATAAATGAATAAATCTTTCTGGATCTATGAGGCTGTGTGATTACCCCCCCCCACGCCCCCGCCAACACAAGGCTGGTGCTGACCTCACAGCCTGTCAACTTAAAAGTAGCTACAGGCCTGGGTCTCTTAAGTCTGTTCCCTGCTCCTATGAACCTCAGGCCAGCTGGCCCTAGGCCAGCATGGTAGATAGTCTGCTGGATTGGAAGAAATGAGGGTAGCTGCTCTCTGTCCACATACTCCCAGAGGTGGTAGAGAGAAGCATGGGGTTTTTGTCTTCTCTAAAATCTCTCCAAATGGGTGGGTGTGGGGATGGAGGTCTTACCAAGCAACGTCGTAAATGGTCCTGGAGTGGAAGCCTGACAAAGTGCAGATACATTTCCAGCTGGGGTCAGAGCCGCTGCATGCCACCCCTGCACGACAGACTTCTCTTGAGCCTAAGACATGTCTGTGTCCTGGGCTCCTTGGGGGCAGAGCTCCTCACCTGCCCTGCCTCACCTGCCCTCCCTCACCCCCACCTTCAATCACCAGGCCTCATTTTTGTTCGTCTGTCCCTATCCTTACTTATCTGCCTTACATACTGTGGCCAGACAGGGATTTTTACAGCAGAATTCTGAGAAGGAAAGGTCCTGTTCTTTAAAAACTTTCTGTTGCAGACTAAGTCTGACCAGTTAGCCTGCCTTCTAAGGCCACCAACCAGCCCAACCAGCCACCCGACCCACCCTATCACTCCCCAAATCCTTTTTACCCTATGCTCCATCTAAAGGAATCACAGTGCCTGATGTAAATCTAGGCTTTTGCACCTTCAATGCCTTTGCTCATGCTGTTCTGTTCTCAACCAGAAGTCTCTTCTCTTATTAAATTCTTCTTGTGTTAAAATCTTACACACATTTTCCAGTTCGGGAGAAATGGCTCCTCTTCCACACAGCCTTCCCTGATTCTGCCAGGACTCACTCAGGATCCCTCTCGTGCCACATGTTCCTCTCTACTCCAATTTGCTATGATTCACCTATGTGTCTTAGACCCTTAGTACACTATAAACCTCAGGAGACAGGAGTCTCCTTTAGCTCTCTTACTGGCCCCTCACCTTGCTCATTGTCCGGTAGATACTGGCGCCAGATACGCACAGTACGGTCATCACTGCAAGATGCCAAGCGCTGGCCACTGGGGTCAAAGGCTAAGCTCCACACAGTGGATTCATGGCCTTCAAGAGTGGCATAGCATACCCAATCATCTTCTTCCTCCCGGTACAGCTTCACTGTGTCATCATAGCTGGCAGAGGCTAACAGCTGAGGGGAAAGGGGGGAAACACAGCACTTGTCTATATGGTTCAGGAAGTGCCTAGAGTTCCAAGACCTCTCCCAGCTAGGACAGTCCCAGCACTCTGTCTCTAGAAAGGGATTAATAATGTCTTTCAGTCACAGATAGAGATCCTCAGGTGGAGGCTGAAGAGCAGAGGAAGGCTGGGTGCAACCCTCCACACCAAAATCCCTTCCCACCAAGAAACTCCACCTCACTCTTACCTCCTGGCTTGGGTGCCAAACCACATGTTTGACATCCTGTGTATGAGAGTTGAGGACACTGACACATTCATACTCATCTTCTTCATCAACTGTGGGAGGGAAAGAGAAAAGAGCCCATGAGCTGACTCTATCAGGGACACAGAGGGGGATGTCTGTTCACTAGCTCCCAACCACATCTGGAAGGATCTAGACTCACCTTCCCAGACCCACACACTCTTATCTCGGCTGCAGGTAGCAAGGAGGTTGCCAGAAGGCGCCCAGGCCACTGACTTGACCTCATTTTCATGGCCCTCCAGAGTAGTTACACACTGCGAAAACAGAAGAAAAACAAGAATCAAGCAACTAAGACCTCTAGTGTTCTTTTCATAGGTAAAGCCAAGCTAGCCCAGGTTGGCTCAGGTTCCTGAACCAGCCATGGGGAGCAAAAGGACAACAATCCTGCTCCCATCCAGCCTGGTTACCTCAAAGTCATCCTGGTTCTTTTTCCAAATGCAAGTGGTAGCATCAAAACTGGCGGAGGCCAGGTAATTGCCACATGGAGACCAGGCCACCTTCCGCACAGTGCGCTGGTGGCCTTCAGAAAGGACAGATTTGCAGATCCAGCTCTCACCTAAAAGCAAATGACAGGTCAAGCTCTAGAGCTGGGTGCACAAGAAGGTGCAGAAGCACTATCAATGCTGTTGGATAATGGGGGTTAGTACTGTTACCGGAGCCGGAGCCAAACTGGGCTTACCAAGCTGGGCTTAATTGGTGTATTTAACAACAGGCTTTCAGGGGCGCCTGGGTGGCTCAGTGGGTTCAAGTCTCTGCCTTTGGCCCAGGTCATGATCCCAGGGTCATGATTCCAGGGGATTGAGCCCTGCATAGGGATCTTTGCTCAGCAGGGAGCCTGCTTCCACCTCTCTCTCTCTCTCTGCCTGCCTCTCTGCCTACTTGTGATCTCTGCCTGTCAAATAAATAAATAAAATCTTTAAAAAAACAAAACAATACAGGCTTTCAGAAAGCTGTAACTACTTCCTGAAAGCTGTAACTAACTACTTCCTCTGCAGGAATCTAAAACAAATCAGAGGAGTCCCCCTTCTGATTTAAAACTGTCAACAGTTCCCAAATTCCCTCAGGATAAAATTTAAAACTTCACATCGTGTCGTAAATTGCTCTGGGGACTACATTCCTAACACCCTTCTCTCCTTTTCCGATCTCAGCAACTATCACAATTCCCTCAATACTTCCACCTATGGATGTTTTTGCTTCCAATACTTGCCGACTCCTTCACCCAAAAAGTCTTCCTAGAGTGGAAAACGTTTTACTTGAAGGTGGCTTTTCCCTCCTTCCCCCAGGTCTGTAACCTCATTGCGGGTCGGCTTGCCCCAAAGACTGCGCACTCCCTGAACCCGGCACCCACACTATGCGCAAGCTGAACCCTCTGCAGCAGGGGTCGTCCAGCGGGGCCGGGACTGACCTTCCGTGCCCCAGATGCGGACTCTACGGTCACCACCGCATGACGCCAGGAGGGTTCCCGCGGGGTTCCAGGCCAAGAACCAGCAGCGGGAGTCCGGGTGTGCCGGGACGCGAGCCAGCAGCACCAGCGAGTCCTTCATGGCGGCCCAGAGCAGGGTGTTGAGGAGGTGGGCAGAGGTGGTCGCGCCGACCGCGAATTCCACGGCGCAAACGCCCGTGACGCCCACTACAGCCTCAGACGGCCCTCGGGTCCCGCCGCTTCCGCCGGAGGGCCTGGGTTGTCCTGGGAACTCAGGGGCCCGCTGCTGCGGCCGTGCTGCCCTCTGGGAGTTGTAGTCACCTTGCCACGCCTGTCAGCAAGCACCGCGGGGCAGCCTCGAACTACCAGTCCCGTGAGGCCCTGCGCAGGGAGCCGGGGGCGCGCCCAGGCTGTGACGCGCGCGGGGGACGGGGCGGGGTGCCGGAGGAGGCGGAGGCAAAGGAGGAGGAAGCCGGAAGTGGATCGGGCCCGGGTCGGTCCGGGCGTTGCGGGTTTAGGGCCTGGGTTCGCTTTGCCCCAGGCAGCTGCAGAGCCCGTGACGGAACGGAGCGCCGCCATACCGGCCTTGAGGCCTGCTGACCGGTGAGGAACAGGGGTCGGTGTGGTGGAGGGTCGTTTCTGGCCACAGGTCGCAGCCTGAGCACTGTTCCCAGATCCCGGATCCCGGATCCCAGCGGCCCAGTCTGGTCTTCGACCACTCGGCACTCTCTGGCCGAGACCCCAGAGCCGGGTGTCTCTCGCATGGGTAACTGATACCCGCGCCCCAACTCCGGTCTGCCCAGATTCCGACCGGCTCGCAGTCCTCTCCGGGTCCCTGTTCCGCACCTCCGCAGCCCCATTCCAGAGACCCCGTCCCCGCCCCCCACCCTCGACTCCCTGCAGCCCTCCTGTCTGTGCTTGGCCCCAGGTCCCATACCCTATCCTCCGGTGTGGGCCCTAACACCGCTGTGCCGGCCTCCCCTTCTGTGAATCCAGCGTTTTGCTCTCCTCCCCGGGACAGGCAGGCTCAGCGCGCCCTGCGGAGGTCCGCGGTGACCAGCAGCGACCTCGGAGCGACGGCGGGCGGCCCCGGGCATGTACGCCCCCGGAGGCGCAGGGCTGCCCGGCGGGCGCCGGCGGAGGAGCCCGGGAGGCAGCGCTCTGCCCAAGCAGCCGGAGCGTAGCCTGGCCTCGGCTCTGCCGGGTGCCCTGTCCATCACGGCGCTGTGCACTGCCCTTGCCGAGCCTGCCTGGCTGCACATCCACGGTGGCACCTGTTCCCGCCAGGAGCTGGGGGTCTCCGACGTGCTGGGCTACGTGCACCCGGACCTGCTGAAAGGTGAGGGCGCTGCGCGCCGGCCCTCTTCTTTCTGAGTGGTAGAGCCTCCTTGGCTGAGCGAATGTGGTGGGGGCTGGAGCAGAGATAGCCAAGGGCAGGCACTTGGCTTGAAGGAAGCAGCCCCATTCCTGCCTAGTGTTCATGCCCACCAGGTGGCTCTGTTTGGGGTCTGGCCCCTCATTAATTCTGATGTTATTCAGCCAGGCACCTACTTCTCAGGCCATGCTAATCTGGACTGCTGCTATTTTCGAATTCTGCCGGCGGAAGGGCGCTGTGTATTGAGAACAGATAAGGGTGCTAGGCATCACAATTAGCTGCCCCCTTCTAAGGAATCCATGGGATATGGGAAGGTTTCTTGGGGCAGCCTGTTGAAGGGAGGAAAGGAACTTTTTTTTTTTTTTTTTTTTTAATGTGGCTGGATTTTAAAAGATATTTTGGAGTTCTGCTATAATGGAATTTTTGCTAGAGAAAAGGGAGTCTATGGCATTTCCATAACCAGAAGTCAGTTTCGTTGCCACTCTCAGTAAAAACAATTGGAATTTGACTCTTGGAACCTTTACAATGGTCTTGACTGAGGTAAGCTTTGTTCATCATCCTGCTTCCTAACTAGGCAGGCAGAGCAAAGGAGAAAGGGACTGTGCTCTTTACTGGGCACAGAGGAGGCCAATGTGGGGGTGGGAGTGGGGGGCTGTTCCAGGGAGCCCCATAGGTAATCTTGCCCAGCCCTGTCTCCAATAATGAGAGTAAAGGCTGTGTGAGGGCAGGACTGTACTTGCCTGGCTTCTACCCAAAAAATGGTCAGAGGACCCCACGAAGTCTTTAGTAACAGCACAGTTCATCACCCCCAAGGTCTTTTGAACCATTTGTGAAGGTCTTCATATTTTCCCCTATGGACCACCCCCTGGAGCTATGATACATTCCAGATGTTTATTACCCCATGTATCAGAAGCGTTAGATATCTTCACGTTGCCTCTTTAAGGATTCAGGCCCTGGGATTTGGTGAAAAGGTCAAATTCCCTTCTGTGCTGTGACTTATATACCACTTCTGCAGGTCTAGTCTGAAAAGCCGTAACCTTGTAGCCTAATGTTGCCTTTCTCCAAGAGTTCTCTTGCTGTTTTGCATCTCTGAGTTTTTAAGGCTTTAGCTACGTTTTATAGAGAACAGGATGGGAGTGTCTGGTTTATTTCCAGATTTCACCATGATGACGGTCTTTGATGGTTTGGCTCATTAAGACCCAAGTTATACACATGATGATGGAGGCCTCGGGACATGCAGCTTTTGTCTGGCCTATAGCTGGTGGCAGAAAGGCCATCAAGTTGGCGTGGAGTCGGGATGGTTTTTCCCTCAGCACGGTGCCTTCTTTGGAGCACAACTACTGCCTTTCCACCACTCCATTCAGGTCTTTGCCATCGATCCCCTGCTGTTCCAGGGTTTCGGGGACGTGGTATCTCCTACAAGCCAGGAGAGAGTTTATGATGCTTCTTCTCCCTTTCAAACCATTCCCTGGGAGGCTCACCAAGTTCGTATGATGGAGGGGGAGGCACTCTGATCCTTGTTTCCAGAGGTCAAGGAAGCTTGGTTCAGACATGAAGTGATCTCTCCAGGGCCTCAGAGCTGGGGGCACAGCTGCATTGACTCCAGTGCAAAATGATGCTGTCTTGTGTGTGCATGTCTTAACCTTTGCTTTACTTCTGCGTCATCGAGAATGACCTCCCGTCTACTCCACTTTGGAGTGCACCCTTGTCAAAGGCCTTTGAAAAATAAAAATAAATTCTTGATGCAGGTTCTCCTTTGTTTACGTATATATTTGCCCTTTTTAAGAAGTTTTTAAAGCCAGATTTTGTCTTTTATAAAGCATGCTGCCTTAATCTTTACATTACACTTACTCATGTGTTTAGAGATCTTAACCCGTGGATAGTTTTTTGCTTGTGTGGTTCTTTTAAGATTTTTTTTATTGGGGGGGCAGGGGGAGAGGGACAAGCAGGCTCCGCACTGAGTGTGGAGCCCAACATGGGGTTTGGGCCCACAACCACGAGGTCATGACCTGAGCCAAAACCAAGAGTCAGACGCTCAACCACGCAGGCACCCCAACCCATGGATAGTTTGAACCTGCTTTTCTGTGGCCATTTTCTTGGCTGTTGTAAGCTAGGAGCACACTGGTGTCCATTAATAAGAGAGGTGACCATGGTACCTCATGAACCATCACAGAAGAAGGCATGGAATTAGGAGGGCCCAATTGCTTCTTCTTCCTTTACGCTGTACCTGTTGGGTTTTTGCTTACCCAGTGGGCCTTTAGACACGGGCTATCCTATGCAATTTTGTTGATCCTTAGGGCCTAACCCATGTCCTAATATGGAAGCCTGGGATATTCTCTATCTTGGGAGGGAGCGGAGCTTTGGGGCACAGATGTGATGGCAGTAGATGCTACCAGAGGGAAAACAGGCCTTATCAGGTCTGTGCAGGGGAAGGAGGATGGGCAGGGCTGGCAGGCCTCCGAGCAGTGCCTTCCTGTTTCTCAGCCCCATGCCTGAGTGCCAGGCATTGTGCTAGGCACATACCATGTCTGGCTTTAGTTTCTCCTAAGTGTCTTTATTGGATAGGTGCTGCCCCACCTCCAGTTCACAGAAGTTGCAGGCTCAGGGAGGTCGGGTACCACGGGCTTGGAGGCACAGAGCTGGTGTGCGTGCTGTGGACCCCACTCTTCCTATCGCACCTGAGCGCACTCTAGGTTTCTTTTTCCTTCCATCAGAGTTGTCCAAGGCTTATTATTTCCTGATTCTAGTGGAGTTTTTCTCACAAGTCCCGCCGAAGCTGTGGTTCTTATCCCTCATTGCCTCAACATTCTGGCTCAAGTCAGTGAGCCTGAGGCAAAGCCACTCACCCTCCCGCTGTCATTTGCAGATCTCCAAAAAGGCTTTAGCCAATGCTGGCCGGCTGAACAGATTTGGTCCTGAATCCTTCCGCTCCCCAGAGGGTGCCTGCTTCTCAAACAGCTCCTCGCCAGGCCCAGGTCCAGAGATTTGCTCAGACTGCTGGTGGCCCCAAGCAAGGGGGGGGGCACAGATAATCATTCCTTCTGAGCCCAACCCTCTCTATTGAGTGTGGCCAGCAAAGGGCAGCTCTGACAACAACTTCAGGAAGCATCTTTGGAGAATGAGGAAGTTTGGGGGGTTGAAGTCAATGAATCACAGTTGACAACAAGCCACTGGAAATGCAAGGCCCTACCAGGAAGGGCCAGTGTGCCTGCTGGGTGGTGACTAATGCAGCTGGCACTTCTGATGCCCATGGGGCCTGTCCCCAGAGGCAGCTCTGCTAGAAGCTTGTATCTAGTGATACCCAGCCAGGCGCTAGAGGGCCCTGTTGGAGTCCTGTGTTAGAAACCTGTCTGGAAGCCCAAAAGTCACAGTGGGCTATGCAGGTGTGATGGCTGAGCCGAGCGCAGAGAAAGATATGGACCCTGGGGAAGGGTCTCTAACTCCCAGGGACTCCAGTGAAGGCCGAAGGGAGGGAAGATGAGACAGAAGAATGGAACTGTCCAGAAGCCACTTTACTCTTCCTGCCTGTAATGGGAGCAATGGGCAGGTAGATGGGAAGTGCCAGGGCCTTCAAAACAGATCCAAGCCAGTGACTCACCAGTGACCTTGGGCAAAGTCAATTCCTTGGGATCCTATTACACAGCAGCTGCCTTCTTCTCCGGTGACTGAGGGGACAGTCAGCAATAATTACCAAAATAAACAGCGCAACTGGAGAATGGGCTGTGTTCTCTGTCTTACCAGAGTGTATACACTGCACCACTTGTTTGAATTTAAAATTAGGACCCTGCCCTGTGTGCCATTTCTCTCCACAAATAAAATCATACATACATCATCCTTGGGGATTTTGCTTCCGCTGAGCAGCCCTC